CACACACACACAGTAACACATGCATACTGTCTCTCCAGTGCACATGAGCCTATCATGCGACCAGGTCCTCGTGTCTGTGAAAGATCAGATGATCACAGAGCATCAGCTTGTAGCCATCCTGATGCCATGCTCCTTGTTTGTGGACAACTACAACAAACGGCCTAGTGTCATGATGACGTCAATTTGGCTACAACCGAGGGCTAATCAGCTTCCCCCCCCCTTTGTTGTTTCATGGAGCTTTCAAAAGGCTTACAATTTAGCAAGAAGTGATTTACTGCTGCCCGGCGTGCTCTAAAATTCCTCTCTGTATTCCTCCTCACATGTGTAGATTGTTTACGGAGAAGAGGAATTCTAGAGGGATGGCGGTCCGCAAGGGGCTTGGTTGCTATGGTTACTAACCCCTGAGCTGGGTTCCATTTAGCAGGAAGGAAGCTAAATTATTTGCAGACAGAAAAGAGTAAGCTCATGTAGGGAAAGTGTAATGAGTTGAGAACCTGTCTGTGTGGAATCTGTCTTTTTTTTTTCAGAACTCTGTATAATTGAACTAGAAATCAGGAGATTAAATTACAAGCAAGTATACAGATCCTTTACTTGAGTAAAAGCAATAATACAACAATAAAAATACGAAAATCTGACTGAAGTGAAAGTAAAGTACAGTACACAATTTACTGAAAGTATCAAAAGTAAGTAGTGTAGAATGACCCATTTCATGGTGTTATATATGGAGATGGTGTTTGCAACAGGTCAAAGTGCAGCTAATTTCAACTTCTCTGTGTGTGTGTGTGTGTGTGTCACAATGTCACTAAAGTGAACATATGCAAGTAATATTAGCATAGTGTACATAAAGTAAAAGTACTTATGATAATGATCATGAAAATTGTGTTTGAATGTTATACTACGGTATAGTATTGATTTCTATGACTAATGCAATAGCTAATGTAAGAAGCATTTTACTGTTAGTTGTTTACTGGTAGTTGGTTGATGGGGAACTGATTTCAACTTTTGTATTTTCATAGTTTAATCTATAACAATATTTTGTAAGTTGATTATCGTGTTTCGTAAGTGAAATCTTACTCTGTAGAGTAACTAGGAACTGAAGCTGTCAGATAAATGTAGTGGAGTACATTTTTTCCCTCTGACAAGTAGAAGTATAAAGTAGCAGAAAATGGAAGTACTCAAGTAAAGTAAGACCTCAGCTGTAAAACATGGTTAAATGCAATGGGTTTTAATATGCTCAATGTCTGTGATTGCTGTTTATGATTCTTTTTGTGCGGCATTACTCCACTCAGGTCATTCATTAGAGGTCTCTCTGGGGTCTAACTGACCATAATTATAAGTAACCTAAACATAAGTAAGCACTGCGTAAATTAACATACTGTAATCAATGGATATTTGTTAATTAATAACCCATATAAGATATGAAACATAGCATATTTCCTCTCCTTTTAACAATTCTTTATGATCTTTATTGATATTTTCTCAACTTTATAAAATCTGAAAGCTCAGTTTGTGGCAAAGGGTTACTACTTCAATAAGTGGTATAATAATCAAGTTTCTACATATTGGGTTTTAATAAGGTCAGAGGAAAAGAAAAGGAAAAACTACATGGTGGAGTGCTATTATTGTTACTATTACACACACAGTTGCGTCTGTGGGATCCTAAACAATGACGGTGAAGTGGAGCCAATGTCAACAAAACACAAATATGAAATAAGTGAGAAAATATCACATTTATGAAATGATTTTTTTTCTAACCCTTGTATTCTTCTTGTTATCTTTCAGACCACATTAACAGAGGTGCAATTTGGACCAATGAAGTTATTTAAAGACCCACTTCAGGTATCGTAAAACAATGCAAAACATCTGAGCGATTGATGCTTATGTGCTTGAATGCATTAAGGCTTTCCACGGAACAACAGAAGTGTTCCAGTGAAATGTTTATGTCCGTATCATTTAGGGGCTTTTAGCTGAGCCGTGGTGCTAAACTTGGTGTGACTGTCAATATTTGGTAGCATTTTTCTAGGATTAGTATTTCAAAATGTCACCTACTTTTGTTTGCAGTTAGAACTAATCTTGAATTTCTCAAAGATACCACACCTCGCTAAGAGATTAAAGAAAGAGAAAAAAAAAGTCCCCATGCAAACATTCAAAGAAGAAGAAGGAAAGAAAAAAAAAACTGTTAATGGACGTATTGTGTGCAATGCAGCCTTGGGTTGTCAAGGCAACAAGCCCAAACATTTATGTCCAAGAACATACCATAATGAACAATGCATGTTATGGAAGAACTGCACAGAGGATCCATGGACCAGTTTTGTCACTGCAAATAGGACATTCTCTGACGTTCAATGGTTCATTATACAGTTTGGTACTGTGCTTGTTCCTTTGGCATGCATTGCTGCGGTTGTGTGACAACTGGGAGACTTCGTAAAGTCAGCTTTTTAGCCATTTTAAATGTATTTCGAGGGCGCACAGAATTTGGTTTCATCTTGGTTTCAAGGGTGCAGAGCTGAACGTTAATTATCAGCTATTTTGATAATCTATTAATTGTTTTAATAATTTTTTTAAGCAGAATGCCAAACATTTCGCTTCTTCCAGCAGCCTGAATGTGTGGATTTTGATGGGCACTTTTTCATATTTCTTTTTTAAATTTCACAGACACAAAACAATCCATCATGAAAATAATTGTTAGGTGCAGCCCTAGCGCATAGCTCCTTCAAGTAAAATACAAGTTCTAATCAAAATTAAACCGCAACCGCAACTACTGCTATACTTAGTATAACAATGATGACTATGAAGTCAGTGAGAGACAAAGAAAAGCAACACATTAGACGTCCTGTAATTTAATGCCATGTATAAGTGCACAGACGCGGCTTTATTGTCTGATGCACTCCAGTGTGACCACAGTAGGAAAACGAGGTAGAGAGATATCCCCTTCCTGTTTTTGTCACTCACAGCTGATCCTGTCATGCCCTCCTCCTCTCTACTCCTCCTCTTTTCTCATGGCTCACAGGATCTGGCCGGGCCTTCTCTGTTTTCAACAATGATGTTTTCTAGACAGAGCGATCAGACCCTGCCAAAATGCTCGCTACCCCCTTCGAACTAGTTTTTTCCCCTCTTACTGTCTTTGTCTCTTTGCTACTTTTTCTGCCTTTTCCATCTTTTTTTTTTGGAGCATAAACAGTGTATGCTCAATTTAAAAAAAAAAAA